AAAGTACAATTGGAATTGCAGCTAGCAAGGGATGTGAAGGGTAGCAATAAGAGTTTCTACAAGTACGTTAGCAACAAGAAGGAGGTCAGGGGAAGTGTGGGACTCTTACTGAATGGGGGAGGCAACCTAGTGACAGATGATGTGGAAAAAGCTGAAGTACTCAATGCTTTTTTTGCCTCGGTCTTCACAGACAAGGTCTGGTCCCAGACTGCTGCACTGGGCAGCACTGTATGGGGAGGAGGTGAGCAGCCCTCAGTGGTGAAAGAAAAGGTTAAGGACTATTTAGAAAAGCTGGACATGCACAAGTCCATGGGGCTGGATGCAATGCATCTGAGGGTGCTGAGGGAGTTGGCTGATGTGATTACAGAGCCATTGGCCATTAACTTTGAAAACTCATGGCGATCGGGGGAGGTCCCGGACAATTGGAAAAAGGCAAATATAGTGCCCATCTTTAAAAAAGGGAAGAAGGAGAATCCGCGGAACTACAGACCAGTCAGCCTCACCTCTGTCCCTGGAAAAATCATGGAACAGGTCCTCAAGGAATCCACTTTGAAGCATTTGGATGAGAGGAAGGTGATCAGGAATAGTCAACATGGATTCACCAAGGGCAAGTCATACCTGATCAACCTGATGGCCTTCTATGATGAGATAACTGGCTCTGTGGATATGGGGAAAGCGGTGGACGTGATATACCTTGACTTTAGAAAAGCTTTCGATATGGTCTCCCACAGTATTCTTGCCAGCAAGATAAAAAAAGTATGGATTGGATGAATGGACTATAAGGTGAATAGAAAGCTGGCTAGATCGTCGGGCTCAACGGGTAGTGATCCAGGGCTCAATGTCTAGTTGGCAGCCAGTATCAAGCGGGGTGCCCCAGGGGTCGGTCCTAGGGCCAGTTTTGTTCAACATCTTCATTAATGATCTGGATGATGGGATGGATTACACCCTCTGCAAGTTTGCAGATGACACTAAACTGGGATGAGAGGTAGATAAGCTGGAGGGTAGGGATAGGGTCCAGAGTGACCTAGACAAATTGGAGGATTGGGCTAAAAGAAATCTGATGAGGTTCAACAAGGACAAGAGACCTGCACTTAAGATGGAAGAATCCCATGCACTGCTACAGGCTGGGGACCGATTGGCTAAGCAGCAGTTCTGCAGAAAAGGATCTGGGGATTACAGTGGACAAGAAGCTGGATATAAGTCAACAGTTTGTCCTTGTTGTAAGAAGGCTAACGGCATATTGGGCTGCATTAGTAGAAGCATTGCCAGCAGATCGAGGGAAGTGATTATTCCCCTCTATTCGGCGCTGGTGAGGCCACATCTGGAGTATTGCATCCAGTTTTGGGCCCCCCAGTACAGAAAGGATGTGGATAAATTGGAGAGTCCAAAGGAGGACAGCGAAAATGATCAGGGGGCTGGGGCACATGACACAAGGAGAGGCTGAGGGAACTGGGGTTATTTAGTCTGCAGAAGAGAAGAGTGAGGGGGGATTTGATAGCAGCCTTCAACTACCTGAAGGGGGGTTCAAAGAGGATGGGGCTCAGCTGTTCTCAGTGGTGGCAGATGGCCGATCAAGAAGCAATGGTCTCAAGTTGCAGTGGGGGAGGTCTAGGTTGGATATTAGGAAAAACTATTTCACTAGGAGGGTGGTGAAGCACTGGAATGGGTTACCTAGGGAGGTGGTGGAATCTCCATCCTTAGAGGGTTTTAAGACCTGGCTTGCCAAAGCCCTGGCTGGGATAATTTAGTTGGGGTTGGCCCTGCTTTGAGCAGGGGATTGGACTAGATGACCTCCTGAGGTCTCTTCCAACCCTGATATTCTATGATAAGCTGCTCGGCACTTTCTTCCTGGGATTTCTGCAGTACTGATCTTGTTGATTTATTTCCCCCCTCTATTTTATAGCTAGAAACCATCTCCCCCCTCCCCTATAATAATAATTGATTTTCTCTAAAGGCCAAGCTGGTTTCATATGGAAACCATGGAAGAAACATTGCCTTTTCCCTACTGGGTTATTCTGTATTTAATTATTTAATCAGCCCAGGGGTGAAAAGTGGGAACTGGAAAACATGAAGGATTGTTGGCTCCAAATTGTGCATGACTATAGCTTAGTCCCAGTCCTTCTGCCCCAATTCATTGCTTTTTGGGGGCACAAACCCTGCACAGAAGCACTATAAAATATATAAATCTATAGCACATTCTTACAACAATGGAGTGTCTCAAACTTAGCTCAAATAATCGCTGATTGTTAGATATACTACACGTTCTGTGGGTATTGTCAGTGTCCAATTCATATCATGAACGAGACTTTATAATCTGCTCTGCCAGAGGGTAGCTGCACTGCCCCAGGAACAGACACAGAATGAATGGCATCTCAGAGTCACTCACAGTCCCCTTCCTGCTTCTGCCGTTGCTCCAGGGTGGGTAGCAATCTGCTCCTGGCAAAGAGCGTTATAAAATATAGACCAGTAACACCCTTCTTTCTGTTTCGCCTTTGCGCATCTCCCCTGACAGGTGCATTCTGTGCTTGCCACTCCTTGCCCATCTACACAGGGAGTGGATGGGAGTGGCATCCAAACAGAGGTTGTTATCTATGTCCCATGCTGCAATGTGGATAGCCCATGCAAGGCAGTAAGGGAATGCCCTGCACCCCTACAGGGTATCGGAAGGGCAAGTCTCAGTCCCTGGTATCTAGAATACTACTTAGAATTACTAAGATAATAAGTTCTCTGGGGCAAGTAGTGTCTTCTTGTTACTTGTTTATACAATGCCTAGCACAGTGGGGCCATGACTGGGGCCCTCAGGTGCTACCATAACACAAATAAAGTATATTACTACTACTACAAAAATATAGATGGATTTATTTTCCTAAATAAGAATATCAGATTTATCATACCAATAGAATATAATCAAGAATCTTCCACTGAATGCTATAATTTGTTTTTCATTCCTAAACACTAGACAAGTTCAACGAAGCAAGTTGAATCCAATTCTAATTGGATTTTTGTCTCTTATTAAATCAGAGTAGTGCAAGTTTGAGTTCAAATGCACGTGCCCTACATCTATTCAACTTAGCTTGCTAAAATACTGCAATATCTTAAAAATATCTGGAAATGGGGTCAGAGTAACCAACCAACTGTTAGGAAATCTGAAAGGCCTTCTGTAGTCACCTTAATGGAAATGATGCTCAGATCACTGTGAGAGATTTCTCCTGATGTTTCAGACTAACCAGTGCTATATTTAGAAAATTCTTTGACTGAATGGGACGCTCCTGTGATCTGCTGAGCTCTTCCCAGGAAGTGCTGGGCTCCTATATGGTCTGATCAGCAAACTCAATAATCCCAGTCTTCTTCTCATGGAGATCAATTACTACTATTTAATATTTTCATTCCAGTGGCATTCACAATAGGCTAGTCCACACATGCAGGAAGATACAGTCAGCGGATAGGTCACTGGATTGGGATTCAAGAGACACAGATATGATACTGACTGACTGGGACAAATCACTTGCTATCTCTGCGTCCTTTGTCTGTCTCGGCTATTTAAGCTCTTTGGGGCAGGCCCTGTCTGTTATTCTGTGTTTGTGAGACCCGTTTCAGTGGAGTAGAAAGGTTGGAAATAAGAATGGAGAGGCTCAGGGGTAGAACTAGAGAAGAGGAAGGCGAGGGATTGATTGCATAAGGCATGTTCACTGAGTGAAGTGGCGGAGGGAGGAGGTGGTAGAGGGACAGGTAGATGGGTTACGGTGGGGTTGTTTCAGGATAGGGGAGAGAAAAGCATTCTTGAATTGTGAGGGAACAAGCCGAGAGAGAGAGAGAGAGAGAGAGATGAAGTAGGTAGGAGGAGAATTATAGCTGTTGTGATTACTGATCAGTAGATGTAGGACTTCACAATACAAGGCCCAACTCCATTTGAGCTGGAGTTAAAGGCAAACCACCACTGATTTCAATGAGGGTAGGAAATGAAGGCTAGGGCTTATGCCAGTTTATAAACGTGTGACTCAAGGCTATTTCCCTCCCTTTGTGTTTGCTTGGAACTCCCATTGTTGTCGATGCAAAACAGGCACGAGGCTCGAAGGTGCCCTGCAAAGTCAAGGTTGATGACTTATTAAATGTCTGAGGGCCATAAACAAAGTCTAACAGCCTTGTTTGAAATCATAGGTCAGTTGACCAGGGGACCTGATAGCTGATTGATGGCATGAATCCAATGTCCCAGATTACCGAAACCTCCACCGCGATTAGGGTGAATCGGCACCCGACTGAACTACCTTCTCCCTCCCAGAAGGGCCCCACCTGGTGAGGACTGAGGCATATTAGCAGGGTAGACTGAGCAAGCCTCCACTACCACTCCCAGTGCTGTGGATGATCAGAGGCCTTCTGTCTCCAGGGCTCTCAATCTGCCATCTTTCACGAACCCTAACACCCCCTATTAACAACGTTCTAAGAGAAGATGAAGAAGCATCGCCTAGATTCTGCGGTGACTGGGGCTCTATAAAGACCCGAAATGGATGAACAGATGGATAAGGAGCCAATCACAATACTGTATTTCTCCCCATTGACTTCTGTGGAGTTTATCGGCTCCCTGCAGCTCGATGCCAGTGTGTGTGTATCGGGCCCATGATGACCGACCAGAGGTCATGTACAAAGGGTGTTTCATTGCTTTACCTTGAATATTTCAATTCAACCAAAATTAAAATATGGACCGAATACAGTTCCCCATTAACTAGAGTAGCTAGCCTGCAGTTCAGTTGAGTCTTTCGACTGCTTGATCAGCTTTATTAATGGCTGTACCACATCTGGTCTGGACTAATTCCCAGGAACACTGGGCAAGCAATTGGCTGTTTTCTCACCTTTCGAAAGTGCCCCATTTTAGATGGTCACAAAAACGTATGGAGATGCCCTTGGTATGTGAAGTATTGGCAGGTGGCTCAGGCATTTGCTTGTGTCGGGCTTTCCCATACCTCTATCTACAAAGGAAAGGAGGGTAAAGTGTAAGTCCTTACCTCTTCAACAAGCTGCAGCATACGACGGGTGCTTTCAAGTGACTGGGGGGAAAAAAGGGAGAAAAGCAAGTTAGATCTGGCAAATGCCGTTTCCGTCACTAGTGTGCAGGCGTGTATAAACGCTATGAATAGCCTCATACAGAAGTCTTTGAGTGCTTCTTTCCCCACCCTCTAATAGCCAGATTACAGCTATCCCAGTGTGGGAGTGCTAGGAGGGAAGATGGCGTTTCTCCAGCCACTCTGGCCTGGGAGGTAGCCGGAATTCTGCAGCTAGCACTCTCCAGCAGTAGCACTGCTGACAGTGATGAATGCTCCCAGAAGAGGCGTATAGCCCTAGCCTTGCCCTCCTTCTCCATCTAAAGGTGGGGCCTGGGCTCTGAGACCTTCCGTCCTTGCCAGGTTTCAAAGCCTGGGCTTCAGCCCAAGACCAAACGTCTACACTGCTAGTTTTAGCTCTGCAAGTCTGAGTCAGTTGACCCGGGCCCTGAGTCTCGGTCCTGCAGGTTTTTCTTTTCAGTGTAGACATACTCTTAGATCCTAACTCCGCCTTAACTCACTCAAGTATCGCTCCCATTTTTTCCACCACCAATACCCTGGCAGTTGAGATCAGCTGGAGCACTTGAGCTAACCGACCCTTAGGCAGATGGGTGGTGGGGCATTTTCAAGGAGGGACCCTTGATGCTGGGATTTTTTTTCGTATTCCTGAGCCTGTTGACCTACAAGATATGGTGCTAGACATATGTTTCCCCAAGCGTCTGAAGAAGGTTTAGGCTGGAGTGGGTTAATGGCAGAGGGGCAGAGTTCTTAGTCCTGGTGGGGGGAGTGGATTTTGTTATTTCATTGCATTTTGATCAGTCTAAATAAATAAATACAGAAATAAGCAAGTACAGAACTGGGCCCTAAGAGCCTAATCCAAAACCCACTGACATCAATGGCTCAACACTGGTCTAAGGCCACGCCTATATGTACAGCGCTGCAGCAGCACCAATGCAGCGCGTCTGGTGAAGATGCTCCACGCCGATGTCAGCCTAATAAAACCACCTCCGGGAGTGGCAGAAGCTGTGTCGGTGGGAGAAGCTCTCTTGCCAAGATAGTGCTGTGCACAAGAACACTTACATTGGTTGTGCTGACATAGGCTGTGGTGTAGACATAGCTTAACTCTGCTCCCTCTGAAGTTGGTGAGAGCTTTTCCGCTGACATCAGTGGGAGAAGAGATAGGTCAGCTTAAAGCACTTTGGAAACCTCACCCTTAATATTTTTGGTTTTCATTGAGTTCCCCTTCCCCCCAATCAATCTTTTTTTTCTCCTCCTCAGCAATATGGCAGATTCCACACTAAAGAGTTCAAGGTGGAAGTGCAAACCCTCAAGTTAACAGAGCCATTCAGGTTAACGCCGTTTCAGTATCTGCTCTTCCTCAAATTCATCCCCTGTGCAATGTGCTTGACACATCCTCAACTCTCAGTTATGGGTCTTGCACATAGTCCTCTCCACTGGTTCCATTCACGCTTGGAACCACTGCTACACTATTGTAAAAATCACTTCTGTGGTTTCCAATTAAAATTTCCTAGCTACCTGATTTGATAGTTTTTGCTTACACTTAGGCTTGGCAAATTAGATGAGCCTCCAGAGAAATTAAATGGCAACTTCTCTCCCTAAGATCATTTTATTTGATATTGATCCTAATATCAGAGACAAACTCATCCAAAGATGATCATTATGATGGGCAAAGACTCACACAGATAAACACACATCTGCCATGACTGACCTCTAATGATATCTAATGGTCTAAATGACTCTTGGATAGATAGGGTGGGAGTTTGATACCCAGGCCCAGGGTCCTTGTACCTATCTGCTCCAGAATCACCATGACTCATTTTTTATTCCAAGTTACCCCTTTCCTCTCCTTTCCACAGAGGTCTCAGCCCAAAATGTCTAAGAAAATGGACCTAATTCTGCTGTCACTGACACAGTGTAAATCCACAGTAATTCCATTGACTTCAGTGTATTGATACTAGTGTCAGTGACAGCAGAATTCGGTCCAGTCAAATTACACGAGTGTAAAGCAGAATCAGCTGCGGAAGCACTTTGCTACAGCTGTGCACATTTCTGGATGTAGCCTGTGGGCAGAAAGAAGAACCTCAGGTGTTTCCACCCTCCTCGTTTGCCATTGGTTTTACCTCATCCGCCAGCTGGTCAGCACGCCGCTGCATTTCTTCCAACTCATTGCGCATATCAAGTTCTTCTGCCATTTTAGCTGCGAGTGTGTTTGTCGAGGCTTCAGATCAAGGATTTGTGTTTGTTCTGCCCGTGAGCCTGCAAGACAGCAAATAGGGAACAAATACTGAGGTTAAACTTGCTGCCCTCTGCAGATTTGTGCTTAAATGTCAATCCCGTCAAATGCTTTTATATTAGTGCTCTCGCCAGCAATCTTTCATCAGGGCTGGGGAGTCTTACAAACAGAAGAGTGCTCGTGGATTGTTCAAGGTGATGTTCTATTCCTGGGCTATTAGTCACTCTCTTGTATAGGAGCACAGATGGATCCTCACTGCATTCCCTACAGAGAAATTAATTCATTTGTATTTTCTACCTGGCACACTTCAACTGCCGTTAAGCACCAAACACTTATAAAATGCAGAATCAGAAGGGATGACTTGTAACTAGACATGGGCTCGAGCTGCATTCAAACTTCTCAGAAGTTGAAAGGGTTCAGCTCTAGGGTTTTGCCTCATACTTGCTTGCAAATAAGGGCAAGTCTACACCACAGTGCTACATCGGCGCAGCTATGAAGACGGTGAAGACGCGCTATGCCGACGGGAGAGAGCTCTCCAGTCAGCATAATTACTCCACCTCGGTGAGAAGCGGAAGCCATGTTGGCGGAAGAGTGTCTCCCACCAACATAGTGCCGGTGTGGACAGCATGAAACTTGCAAGGCTTATTGGGGGAGGGGGGACTTTTTCACACCCAGGAGTGAAGTAAGTTATATCGACTTAGGCTGTAGTGTAGACCTGCCGTAGGTATATTTGCCTTTACTTGCCTTTTTGGACAGGGAAGGAGTATATGACAGAGAGCCAGATCCTTAGGTAAGCTGTAAATCTGTGTCATGCCACAGTAGCTTGCAGATAATGGAGCCGGGCTGATTTTCACCAGCTGAGGATTTGGCTCAGAAATCTGAGCCATTCAAAATTACACTGGATACATTTTAAAAAGCCTGGCAGGGGTTTGTACTATATCACCCAGCTGGGTGATTGTCATTGCTTCTAGTGGGGCCAGATTCTGATCTTGATTACTCTTGTCAGAGTCTGATCTTGGTTACTCTTGGGACAGCTCAGTGGTTTGAGCATTGGCCTACTAAACCTAGGGTTATGAGTTCAATCCTTGAGGGGGCCACTTAGGGATCTGGGGCAAAATCAGTACTTGGTCCTGCTAGTGAAGGCAGGGGGCTGGACTCCATGACCTTTCAAGGTTCCTTCCAGTTCTAGGAGATAGGATATCTCCATAATTATAATTTATTGTCTAAATCCAGAGTAAATCCATTGAACTCACCTGTACCTGAGATCAGACCCCCTTCCATTCAATCTAGTTTAGGAAGGTATTAGCTTTTATTATAAACCAAAAGACACAACCTGGCTTCTATTGCTGACTTGAGAAGGAAAGGTGGGGCCTCCTACTACCTCTCAAGTCTGTAGAACATCATCACTATTTTATTTTTCTGCCTGATTCAATCATGACACATTGAAAATTAGAGCTCAGCAAGGGTTTATTGCTCAGAGGAAGCACTAATCCAGCTGGAAGGAAAGGCAGAGGGCTGCAAATAACTGCCATGAAGCACTGGCCATTTTACGCAATTAAATAATATCATAACATAAGGATGGCCATACTGGGTCAGACCAATAGTCCATCTAGACCAGTATCCAATGGCCAGCGCCCGATGCTTCAGAAGAAGTGAACAGAACAGGGCAATTTATTGAGTGATCCATCCCGTCATCCAGTCCCAGTTTCCAGCAATCAAAAATTTAGGGACACCCAGAACATAAGGTTGCATCCCTGACCATCTTGGATAATAGCCATTGGTGGACCTATCCTCCAGGAACTTATCTAATTCTTTTTTGAACTCCATTATTCTTTTGGTCTGCACAACATCCCCTGGCAATGAGTGCCATAAGTTGACTGTGCATTGTGTGACAAAGTATATCCTTGTGTTTGTTTTAAGCCTGCTGCCTATTAGTTTCATTGGGTGAACCCTAGTTCTTGTGTTATGTGAAGGGGTAAATAACACTTCCTTATTCACTTTCTCCATACCATTCATGATTTTATAGACCTCTATCCGTATCTCCCCTCAGTCGTCTCTTTTCTAAACTGAATAATCCCAGTCTTTTTAATCTCTCCTCATATGGAAGCTGTTTCATGCCCCTAATCTTTTTTGTTGCCCGTCTCTGTACTTTTTCCAATTCCAATATATCTTTTTTTGAGATTTGGCGACCATATCTGCACACAGTATTCAAGATGTGGGTGTACCATGGATTTATATAGTGGCATTATGCTATTATCTGTCTTATTATCTATCCCTTTCCTAATGGTTCCTAACATTCTGTTTGCTTTTTTGACTGCTGGTGCACACGGAGTGGATGTTTTCAGAGAACTATCCACGATGACTCCAAGATCTCTTTCTTGAGTACAGCTGCACTGATGTAGCGCTTGAGTGTAGACTTGCCCGTAGTATTTAGACTTCTTGCATTTGTATACAAGCATTATAAAATTTGTCAATATTTAGTTGTCTGCTTTCATGTGATGTAACTGAATGGGACTCTTGTTTGACTGTTTCTTTTCTGTTCCTACCTGTACTTTATCAACTTCTATCTTCTCCTATTTACTTGGATATAGAGTATCCCCTTTAATAAATCCTCTCTGATAGGAGGTGTCTGTCCAAACCGTGTCCCCCTCCGCACCTGTCGGCTTTCCCCCAGCCCTTAGTTTAAAAACTCCTCTACCACCTTTTTAATTTTACATGCCAGCAATGTGGTTCTGTTTAAGTGAAGCCCATTCTTCCTGTATAGGCTCCTCCCTTCTCAAAAGGTTCCTAGTTACTAGTAAACGTAAATTGCTCCTCCATCCCCTTGTCAAGGGATCCGGGATCAAAGGACTGAAGGCTGGAGCCTGGTTAGGAAGGCTCCGGTAGGCTCAGCATACAGCAAGCAGCCCGCACTCTAAACTTCAATCAAGCAGGCACATGGCAAGCAACAAGCACACAGCAACAGACCACAAACTCACCCCAAAGGTCAGACCTTCACACCTTCACCTGCAGAACTCCCTGGCCAAACCCCCGTTTGCTGTTCCTCTCCTCCTTACAACGGCAAGGCAGGACAGAGCAGCTCCTTTCAGTAAACTGTCAAGCAAGAACCACCTTGGGGACCGATTTTTGCCCTGGCTTTACACCCTATGCCACTCAAATGGAAAAGATGAGTCAGGGCAGCCTTTGGCCCTAAGAGTTTGACAGCCAATAAATGATAGCATCTGTCTATAAAAACTAGCCATTATGTATTTAAGATGGGCTCAGGCCTCGCTCAGACAATACTCTCACTGAAGCCAATAGGGGTACAGACTAAGGACGGCAGGAGTGGGCCATAAGGCCCCAGATCACAGCGTCTGCAAACAGGGGTGCTCCAGGGAGCACAGGAGTGAATGGGAGGCTCACCCCCTTCCCAGGCCATGAGCCTGTGCTAGAAATGCACCTTTTAAGCTGCTGAGGAGAGGAAATGTTCCTGCTTGATTCACAGAGTCATGGATAGGTCCCCCAGTGCAAACTCCTCCAAGCTCACACAGACTGAGCCCCTGCAGTGCACATGGGGGCACAGAAGCCTCCCCTGGGGGGCTCCCTGCCTGCTGCCCTCCACTCAGAAGAAGCACACCATTTCCTCTGCACTGAGTGGAGAGGGCCAGCATTTGCTTCAGCTATAGGGGACAACAGCCAGGCAGGTGCACGAATTAGCATTGGGTGGAAGGAGCTCTGCACAACAATAGCAGTGCCCCATGGAGAGCAACACTGGTGTTTGCTTTGCTAACACATGTCAATTAATTAAAGCCGAACAAAAGGCCATTGGCTAGAGGCTGACACAACTGTTGGCTCCCATTTCAGCAGAACGCAACAAACCAACCACCCAAAACTGCCTAAGTAGCAAGCAGCCAATATATGGCAGTGAGTTAAACTCTGGTTTGGATTAAACGTCCTTTCATATTAATCTATCTAGTCCTTCCCCCTCCCTCCCGCTTCTTTCCCAGTGATTATTCTGCAATGGGACGACCTTTCCTCTGCATAAATCAGCTTCCACTGAGCCAGGAGCCATAGGTTTCCAGGGATCAGAAGGCCAAGGATATTTGCTGCTGAATTAAGCTCTATCTGCTTACGAATATGTAAGAAAATCAGACAGCTGCTTACGTATCCTCTGCAGCTTCTACAAAGGATTGTTGTTATATAAGGGGGGAAATGTATGACCTTCATGCTTGTACATTAGCTATGCTCTCACTTGAGGCTGTCTTGCTTTCTTTTCATCCTAAGGCAGGAAGAAATCCATCTCAAAGAGGAGACTGAAAAGCCAGCCCCCAAGCAACTGGCACAGCGTTCTGTTTACATCAATCTCAAACAGTGAACACATCGCAACATCCCTGTCTGAGGGAGGCTAACATCCTGTGATGGGTCACATAAAATGTAGACGTTTCCAATATATCCCGGAGTAGCGGCTGGGTGGGCAGTGCCACCTGGTGTTTTGGATGGTTGGGCAATTCACACCAGCATTAAGGCTCGACTGCAAGAAATTCATCCGTGGGCCCAGCTGATGCAAATGCCTGGCTTAATGGCATGGTGAATATTCAGTTTGACAGCAGACATTTTTGGGATGCTCGCTGTCAGCAGTAAACAGGTTTCACCAAAAAAAAAATAGAGAGCACTCTACGGATTAGGAGCTCCATGGCAGAGACGCATCAGGGATCCTTCTGCTTCCAAAGAAGACCTCTGTGAGAGTGACTAAAGCAATCCTGGTGTTCTTGTAGGGGCCAATCCAGCCCCAGCCCACACAGGTTCTCCTGGAGGCAGAACCACTGTGATTCCACTACACTGGCTTTGGATGGGCTGTGTGCCTAGAGTGAAGTGCCCTGAGGAGTCACTCCCTGAACAGCCACGTGCAGGGATTATGTGGGAGTGAGGAAGACAGGCAAGTGGTCAGAGGAAGTTGAAGTATCCTCCATAAAACATCTGCTCTGTAGCCCAAGTGGAGGACTCCTTGTCTATGTCTACACTACCGCGATAAATCGACCTACGC